TTTGGAAATGGCCTTTATGTCAGGTTAGTCCAAACTATAATTCTCTACTAGCTTCACTCCAGCTAACCCTCTATTTTCTTGTTTTGCCAAAAGTCAGACAGACCTTTCTTGCTGTTTTCTGACATCTTTTTAAAAAGCATTAAAGTATAAAGAATTTAAAGAATACATATTTCTCTTCAGTATTCCATCTCACAGTCACTGAATGGTGATGGATGAGAGGCATTTGACTGTGTGCCTGTCCACCTCCAGTGTTACTTCTCTCAATTTTTCAGGTACTTTTGTGGGTCGAAGCATACCAGTTGAAGTGGATGAATCCATGCCATGGTCCCAGTTACCTGAACACGTCTTGGAAAATGCTCTGCAGCCTTCTGGAGAAGATATGGAGGATGAGGAGGCCCAGAGCCCACATGTTGCTCAAACACCTCGGGCCAATCCATCTTGCCTTTGCAGGGCACCAGCATGTCGTCATTCAGCACTGTCCGTGGAGCCTGACAGCAGCTTGTGGTCATCAAAGGATACTGATCCTGATGGAGGTGGACACTCCTGTTCCCCTAGTGAATCAATATCAGGAGTATTTCCCTCGAAGACACATTCTATAGGGATGGACAAACCAGGCATGCAGCCAAGATCACAGCTTTCGGCTGACACTAGGCACAGCTCCAGTAAATCAGAGCAGATCTTGTCTGATGTTCCTGAGGACTCACTGGAGGAGAGCAGCCAAGGGAGTTCACAGCCACAGCAACCCTCAGGAAACAGACTCCTGGCAGAGCTGGGGACTGTAGATACAGGGTACAACTCCCAGTCACAAGACGTCATGGGCATCAGGCATCTGGAGCCCCCCTTACCACTGGTGTCTGTGCTGAACCCCCAGGACCTCCCAGGACCACTGATCTCCAGAGAGTTTTTGGGACCTGAGCATCAGCAGTGCCCTCTGTGCCAGCACTTGCCACATCCCAACACCCCCTCGCAAGCCCACGGCTGTTTCAGGCACCGCTGCCCGGCACAGCAGCCCGCCCAAGGCCCATGTGAGTAGCACCTCTCGCCCCACAGGAGGTTCTCTGGGTGTGTCTCAGCCATCGTTCACCAAGGGCGTGTTCCCAACACAGCATGCAATCATTAAGCTCCTTAAACATCCAGCTGCAGTCCATTTTACAATTTCAGATTTTTGGGTTATGTGGCTGGACTCTGCTGCAAAACCTCTGAACCTCTAAGTTAAAGAGGTCACAGTTACTCATCGAGTGCAGGCGAATGATTTTGCCTAGAAACCAGCCTTTATCGGTCACGCTGAGCATGCACAGCCTCTCCCTGCTGTTATTTCATATTCTAGTCATTTCCTTCCTCCTTGCATCAGTCATTCGGCAGCCTCCTATACCGACTCAATTCCTGTTGTTTTCATAGATTTCCTTGCTCCCCCTTGGATCCCCAAAGTTGAGAATTTCCTGCCAGGATCAGGATGGGAGGTTACCCTTGATCTCCATAAATAGTATCTCCCAGCACTATGGCCAGACTCACCCATGTGTTTTATTTCTATGTGAAAAGAGCGTGACATCCATCATCCTCATTTTTTTTTCCCCGTTGTCAGCTGAAATGAAAGCTCATTACTTAAAATGGAGCCCTCTCAGCTGCTGGTGATTGTGTCGCTGAGCGCTGATGTGACTCCCTCAATATGGGCGTTCTGGCTCTGGGAGACTACAGCACAGTTTACAGCCTGCTATTAATTAGTATTCCTTTTCAGC